CAGAAAGAAAATATATTACGTACACACATACATTGGGTGAAAATGAATGACGTAGACAAAACAGGTACATGTCTAGACATCGGTTCCGGTCCGTTATATATTTCGGTGCGGCCATACGTATTACGTGAACTATTGACCTACGTGACCTCAAAACAAGGGTGATATGTTAACATTTGACGCTTCCTTAAAAAAAACCATTTTTTTTTTGTTTATCAAATAAATTCATCATGGAATTGTTAGCATTTTTTTCATTGGCAAAGTTTTCCTGATACACATATCCCCACGTCAAACATCCGTCCAGATACCATAAAATAATCTATCCTCAGATGTCAGTGTTTTGTTGTTGTCTATCAAGAGAAAAAAATCGGCCATGAAAAATAGGCCACGTGTCTTTGTTTTTTGATTACTTTTGATGACTGCTTTCCGAATCGAACTAACCAGTAGACCGGCACACGAGAAAAGTTTATTTGAAAAGTTTGTAGTATGAAAATAAAGATAATGATAAAACGATAAAAGCTATAATGTTACCCTTTAGAAAAGTGCACACATAGACACAAATATTCACCATTTTCTTCATACGATTTTTTTTATTGAACTGTCATTCCCGTTTTTAATGAAGATTTAACATGAGGTTTGTGCACATCTGTTAGTGACTCTGTGATTCAGTGACGTCACCTGATGAAATTAACAGAAGTGTAGTCACGTTTCCGATATACATGTCTGTCACTTCAGGTGAGGTCGTATTTGTGGGTATATTTCACTGATCACTTTATTAAATAAATTTCTATTATAAACATATGACAATACCTTTATGTAATTGTTTGGTTACAATTCATCGACGAAGCATTGCTATCGGGGTTATTATGATGTCCGAAACTAGAGCGCCGAGGATGCAAACTCTAGAGAAAACAAGTAAATATCATCCTCGATACTCCAGGGTTACGATCACTTCATGGCAAAATTGAAGGCACAAGCCAAGTAATTTGATTGGTTCCAAGAGAAAAAAAATCCGGCCAATCAGTGGCCGATACACTCCTGCTGGAGATTACAAAGGAGCGATACTCAAGCTCAAAGTCATTACAATATACCGTCATCTGACCTCGAGATTCGTTTGATGTACATCAAAGAATCAAACTAGTCTTTTCGTCTTGTCCACAAGGTGTCACACATGGAATTTCTAATTTTGCCATTAAACGGAGTATCGAGGATGAGGAGGTATAACAACAGACACTTTAAAATGTTAAAATGTCACCATATATCTACAGATATAAAAACATATCAATAATATAAAAACAACTGTATCAACAGGCTAAAATAAAATATTGTCATTGAAACTGAACAATCTGAAGAAACAAATACTGGTAGAAATTAAACAAAATTAACACGTGTACATTTAATGTAAAAACAGAACACATGAAACTGGCCAATGTATGATCAACTTGTGACAAAGGTAGTTCGTATAGAAATCGGTGAGTGTTCAACTACAGCAAACTAGCATATGTTCACACAGGATTATACATAAAAGGATAAAGCTAAGGTCATTATTTATTGGTAGTACAGTAAAGAACAAACACAAAGATTGTGTATAAAAGGATAAATGTTGTGTCATGATTCTGACTGAAAATCGAGAGTGAAATCTCTAGAACTTAGGAACTGTTTGAGGACAAGGTAGGACTATCTGGAGGCATGACTGAAGACAGAATAAAGCTTACATACATGATATTATCCGGAGTCAAATTGCAGCCAGAATGAAGCAAACAAATCAGATATTATCCAGATTCAAATTGAAGACAGAATAAAGCAAACAAACATGATATTATCCAGAGTCAAATTACAGCCAGAATGAAGCAAACAAACATGATATTATCCAGAGTCAAATTGCAGCCAGAATAAAGCTAATATACATGATATTATCCAGAGTTACCTTGAAGACAGAATAAAGCTGACATACATGATATTATCCAGACTCAAACAGCAGCCAGAATAAAGCTGACATACATGATATTATCCAGAGTCACAATGAAGACAGAATGAAGCAAACAAACATGATATTATCCAGAGTCAAATTAAAGCCAGAATGAAGCAAACAAACATGATATTATCCAGAGTCAAATTGCAGCCAGAATAAAGCTAACATACATGATATTATCCAGAGTTACCTTGAAGACAGAATAAAGCTGACATACATGATATTATCCAGACTCAAACAACAGCCAGAATGAAGCTAACATACATGATATTATCCAGAGTCACAATGAAGACAGAATGAAGCAAAAAAACATGATATTATCCAGAGTCAAATTGCAGCCAGAATGAAGCTAACATACATGATATTATTCGGAGGCACATTAAAGATTAAATGTTGCATATAAGCATGATATTTGTGACTGGCATGATTCAAAATAGAATGTGGCTAACAATCATGATATTATCCAAAGACACATTGAGGACAGAATGTAGCTACAAAAAAATGACATTATTATTGTAGCATATAAACATATTGTCTAGAGACATGATTGAAGATAGAAAGTAGCTAATAACACTGATATTATCTATAATCAAATAATGATTCCCTGATGTATAGAAATGTATGGATGATTTGTACCTTAGCTAGGCACAAAAATGTCATATAATTGTGAGCTGTTGATATAAGAAAACTATATATATATGTATATTGTTATCACATATCACTAAAAATATATTCATTATAAATTGATATAAATGATACGATAAACAATAAAATATTTGTCAACAGAAACTCATTAAGCACCTTAATCATATTTACATTTCAAGGTTTGAATCTGATTCATCACCAACACAACTTTCAATGGAGACTCCCTTCTCTCTTTATAAATACGTTAGTCCTATTGTCCCAGTTTAAATTTGTCATGTGATTAATACTTGACATACATATATGTATCTATATTACCAAACTTCACATTAACTAAAACATCAAATGTCAGACATTTTTTCTTTTCTAGTATTCAAAACATCGACCAAAAGTTGATTTACACATTCATCCTATAAGTACTGTGTCACTAGTAACTTAAAGCGATATTCTGCCCAAGTTGAACAGTTCTGACTGTTCTGTACCTTTAATAAACTCTAATGAATTCTATAACTACTGTGTCACTAGTAACTTAAAGCGATATTCTGCCCAAGTTGAACAGTTCTGACTGTTCTGTACCTTTAATAAACTCTAATGAATTAAAACTTGTTAGCGTCGACCAGCGCCTATAGTGGATGTAGTGCATCATAAACACCGGAACTGTTAGATCTCTGGATCGCAGAATTTATGCAAAGTTTTGGGTAGACACACAAGTGTGTTTGCTGTTCAGTATTTCTTGTTTTTACTGTGGGTGCAATTTTATTACTTTATTAGGCTTATTTTTTTATTTTTTTAAATAATTTACATGAATATTTCATCCTGCAACACAAACTTGTTATGATGAAATCCGGGCTGTATGAATGCTTGTAAATCAATCGAGCTAGAACTGTAAAGAATTTCTGTATATCAAATGTGATCTGCTTGTTTCAATGCTAAATTGAGGTGTACAATTTCAATAAGAACTTAAGTAGCTGGTTTGGCACTGTTTTCACCAAAAACATTCCAGGAATACCTAACTTGTTCAGAATATCCTTTACACTATACATGTACAGTGTTACCACACTGTGTAGCTGTGACTGGTTGACAGACCCCATTGTTTCTATTTTGACGTTATAATGCCATTACATCTGCAGTATGATGCCACCAAAGATGGAGATATGGAGAGGGATATCATCTTCTCCTAACATATATGGTGTTATCCTACAGGATCCTCTGGCTGTATTGAACATCAACTCAAGTAGAAATCTGAGATTTAAATCAGCCCAACAAAATGCTGGTAAAATGAAAAAAAAATCTTTTCTTTCATAAATTCCTTGTGAAATTAAAACAAATGTAATATCCTGCTCCATCTATCTGATACAGATTACAGGATACCGTATCGTTAATATCAGGATCCTAAATTTGATTGTACATTTAAGTACAATCCGATCAGTGATGTATTATGTAACAAACATATTGTCATGAACATCTAAAGTTTACGTTTCAATAACATCAATGAAGCAACGTTTCTATCATCACTAAATCCAAATCACAAGTTCCTGTTTTACAACGTGACTATTTTACAGTAATTGTATTTCTACAATGTTTACAATAATTAGACACATTTTGAGATATCTACACAAAGATATCTATTTCATACATTAAGCCTGAAATCTTATCATCACTTACAATAATTAGACACATTTTGAGATATCTACACAAAGATATCTATTTTATAATTAAGTCTGAAATCTTATCATCACTTACAATAATTAGACATATTTTGAGATATCTACACAAAGATATCTATTTTATAATTAAGTCTGAAATCTTATCATCACTTACAATAATTAGACACATTTTGAGATACCTACACAAAGATATCTACATTAAGTCTAAAATCTAACCATCACTTACAATAATTAGACATATTTTGAGATATCTACACAAAGATATCTATTTTATACATTTAACATCAAAATCTTTCCATCATATTGCATTTATTAAAACATACAATTAGACACCTAACCAATACTGTAAAGATCCCAATGTTATTTAATTCTATAATATAAATACAGTGGGAAGTGTGTGAGGTCGACTGTCATGTACTGCAGCATTTTTTTATTATTGGGTAGTATGCCATTAATCTGTATAAAATGTGTCTGACCTCTCGCATGCTTTTCAATGAGGTTGCCACCTTCAGCTGTATAAAACCCTCTCTTTAAAAAAATTACTCTGGCTGTTGATGAAGTGATAACCCCAGTCTGCATGAGAGGTATTGGAGGACATTTGAAAGGCTAAATTTTCAACAGGCAAAAATTGTTATTTACCTATTAATTAATAGGTTAATAATCTATTACTAATGAATTAAGGGTTTATGTATTTCCTTGGTGTCCATTTTCGTTGTCTGTCTTCAGACGTCCATCTGTCCGTGGCCCTCCTCAGCTATCGCAATCATGGGAATGTCAATGTTCTGTAAGGCCTTTGGTGACTCACACAACTTTAGAAGCATGGGGTGACAGATTAGTAGGAGGGCACCTGCTATTAGGAATGCTCCGTTCATGTAGTTGATGGGATGATATGAGAGAGTGGCATCTCTGATGGCACCTACAAGGATATATTATTGATATGTGCACAAACAGATATTGATATATTTATAAATAATGTCAGAAGGGACGAGGAAAACTAACTCCTAACTTAATGTAAAAAAGTTATACATTTGACTTGTACAGGTTATCTCCCCTTAGTTTGAAATTTCTCAAATTCATTTCTTTGTTATAAATCCACAATTCTTAAAAATATATACAAAAAAGGTATAAATTTATTGGACTATATTGATACCAATTAATTACTAGACACAACACATTTACATAATGAAGATTGGTTAGTGATGTTGGGGGTCTGAAGTGTTAGGTTGGGATGGGGTACATAGGATCACAAGCTGTCTGTAACAGTGTATCTGATCAACAAGTACATTGTATAAAGGGAAGAAATATGAAAACAACCTAATAGTGTTTTACCTTCTATTGGTTGACCAACAGCTGCCCCGGCTCCCTGGAAGAGAAGAACAGTTGACAGTGCTTTTGGTAAAGTCTCCAATCCGACCAAATCCATCAACACTACAGCATTGATGGCGACATATGCCCCTCCAAATACCCCATAAAGGAACACGTGGGCCCCCATCCACCAGAATGAGGTTGCTAAGTCAAATAGGAAGATATTTAAACCACAGAGAGCGCAAACCATTGCCATGATCTTGTACCGTTTCATTAGGCCTAAATCGCCCACAAGCCCTATCAAAACTCGACCGAGAAAATCTCCAATACCGGAAAAAGACACTAACCATGTTTTCTCAAATTTGGACACACCACGTGACACAACATCTGGTGGCAAAAATATCACAAAACTAAAATATCCGTAAAACGTTACAAACATAACCACAGTGTACATTATCACAACCGGCATTTTGAAAACATTCCAATGGAATACTTTCGGAAACACAAATTTCTTTCCGGATTTCTTTCCTAATTCATTATCTGCATCGCCTTGATTTTGCTCAGTATTCTCTGCCATCACCATAACACCTAGACTCTCCACTGAGCCCATCATTTGACTTCCGGCACTGGTCAAGTACGCGAAACGATTTGCCTTCTTCCTAACATCCAGTTTGATGTCGAGTGTGAGGTCATTGGTACTTAAAGACATCCTGGGTTTCTTCAACGTTTCCGGTAAGGTGTTCAACATTTGATGTGATTGAGAAAAGTCTGTTGGCTCTTTTGGGAATCTTTTACGCGGAGATTCCATTGACTTATTTGTCAACATGGATTCCTGTTCCGTCTCAACATTTGTGTTCTTGTGTACGACAGTAAGTGGTCTGTACAGGGATCCAAAGAAAGCAATATTTAGATAAAATCCGCCCTGAAAGAGGAATGCCCCATGTATTCCGTAATTATCCAACAGTATCTGTAGAATTGGAGGAATGGCAAAATGACCAACACTGGCCCCTGTCAGGGCTAAAGCCGTGGCCAATGATCGACGTTTCTCGAAATACATCCCAACAATTACTAGACCATTCCCGAATAGACAGGCATTGGCGAAACCTGAAACAAGATCCAAATCAGAATTATTGTACCAAAAAATGAAATCTTTATATACAAATTATAATTTAGAAGGATTTACGTAGTAGAGCCAATGCTGTTCGTGTTGGGTAGATTGGGTGTTAGGTTCCTTTACTCTTCAGCTAGATAATGAAGAGTCTGCAGGGTGATTGAGCAATAGAGAAAATCAGGTACTGAGTATCAATTACAAAAGCTTGGGAGTAGTGTTTTCATGTTTATCATTAACTGTCTATCAGTTTCACTCTCTCCTGATGAAGCCCGGAGAGGGCGTAACCAGTAGACAGTTAATAACAAACATCAAAGCACTACTCCCAAGCTGTTGTGATTAATAATCTGTACCAAATTATAATTTGTTACATTACAGCCAAATAAAAAATTAAATTGCATATCATCTGTTTCATCCTTCAAGGACTCATCAGTGATGCCAAGGGCCAAAATTGTTGAAACCCAGGAGGCAAATAAGACAAATCTGAACGTGGAAAACCAGACAGAGACATACTGTAACACTATAAAATCAAGAATCTTGTAATTTTTGTTATTGAAGTAAAAAAAAACATCAAGAAACATGTTTTAAATGAATCAAATTGTGGCATGCAAATTAGTTACTAAGGTAACCTCAGAAACTTAAACCATTCTGTACTTTGATTACAACAGCGTCCCTTGATAATACAGATTCAATGAACACCTTTCCATTTAAACTTTGCTAACAAATCACCATTTTCAGTTGATTTTTGGCAGAAATTTGGATAAATTTGATGCATCTAATCCAAAGTTAAAAACATCTTAATTTTCAGTATCTGATAATGGTACTTGATTCCATTGAACGTTAAGTGTATTTTGAGTCTTGCTACTTTTCAGATTGATTTACACATGACATACAGGGTATGAGCCATGCTTAAAGACTACTGTCTACCACCAGAGTTAGCTCCCTTTCTTTTATTGTCTGATGGTTAACCACTGTCCAATTTTACATTTATATTTAAAAGCCAATTTTATATCTATATTTACAAGCCAGAGTGTTAACTATGACTTTACTTAACAATAAGGAATCTGTACTGAAAATGAATCAAATTAAATTGATACTTTTGGTTGGAATGCGAAGATATTGAGGACAAAGGAGAATTTTTGTCGTACACACCATAACAAATAATAAATATATACATGATACATATTTCAAATTTTCCCTTGTTTAGTAAACAGTATGTGATCTGGAACTTACCAACAGTTATGCCAAATACACATATAATGTATTCTATACTGATCATGAAATAACAGAGAGCCACGCCCACTCCACCAACAACGCCTCCTACCATCACCACAAGTCGCTGAGAGTAGTGTTGTCCGAAAGCCAGACAAAAGGGAGCTAAGAAAAAATAAGATTTACACATACAAGAACCACAACAACACCGTAACACAATGAGATATGGGTTACTGTTGGTACTTGATTTTGTCGATAAATCTTGTACACAATATTCGATATGTTTATGATGTCAATTTAAACAATATATCATTTCATTGACATAAAACATGTGCATTTAAAAAACACTTGGATTTGATTATAAACCTACATGTTGATTTTCACATAAATCTACATTTTGATTTGAACATAAACCTACATTTTGATTTGAACATATTGAACATAAACCTACATTTTGATTTGAACATAAACCTACTTTTTGATTTGAACACAAACCTACGTTTTGATTTTAACACACATATCAACTGTAAACATAAGATTACTTATAATCCCGAGGAAGTATTAAGTACATAATGTGCATACTGATCAAGGATTGATGTTGTATGTGGGGTACTGTAACAGTAGTTTGCAAGCTTTAACTATCTCAGTATATATCTATACATAAATACCAGTCAATTTCTACAGTTCATCATCATCAACAAGAAAATCAATACAGTAATCACATGTCTATGTAATGCTGTATACTGCTGATCATATCAGTCTTTGTATACATTTAAACAGAGATATTTTACAGATGAAACAATCCTGCATTGACTTCACTATATAAATAAATATAAAGTCCAGCATGAGCCTTCACAGTCATCTGACAGTCATTTATTTAATAAAATATTGCTCTATAAGTGATTTTTAAAACAAAATTTGGTTGAAATCCATTGAGGTATTAAGGTATACTAGCATTGGAAAGCAAAGTTTCATTTAATTTCCCACTTTTGGGCCCTGTCTCCAGTCCTCTAAGGATGAAATGATTTTTTTTTATTTAAAAAAGTGAATGATCTCCCCAAGTTATGATTCAGACTAAATAAGATAGAAATCTGCACATGTGTAAGGCAAGAAAATGTTGCAAATTAAAATTTCAGTCAAGTTCTCTACGTCAATCATGTTTTATCATACAATACTGTTTGTCAGGTAGTGTCCTTATCCACAATACTCCAGAGATACTGTTTGTCAGGTAGTGTCCTTATCCACAATACTCCAGAGATACTGTTTGTCAGGTAGTGTCCTTATCCACAATACTCCAGAGATACTGTTTGTCAGGTAGTGTCCTTATCCACAATACTCCAGAGATACTGTTTGTCAGGTAGTGTCCTTATCCACAATACTCCAGAGATACTGTTTGTCAGGTAGTGTCCTTATCCACAATACTCCAGAGATACTGTTTGTCAGGTAGTGTCCTTATCCACAATACTCCAGAGATACTGTTTGTCAGGTAGTGTCCTTATCCACAATACTCCAGAGATACTGTTTGTCAGGTAGTGTCCTTATCCACAATACTCCAGAGATTATGATCACTGTCGCTAACTAAAAGCACAACTGAACTAATTTGATTGGTTCAAAGAGAAGAAAACTGACCAATCACAAGCTGATAGCTACTTTTTAAGAATTACATGAGCAACACCCAACTTCAAAGCCATTACAATATACCAGTATGCCACATCGAGATTCGTTTGATGTACATCAAAAGATCAAACTAGCCTTTTCGTCTTGTCCATAAGATGTCACACATGGAACCTTCAATTTTGCAATGACATGTACCAGGGGTGAAGAGAGCCAAAGTTCAGGACAAAATTAATGTGGTTTTATCTAAAGGCTGAGTGACATTAGCTGGAGGTTTGTACCTGTTATAGTAAAGACTATTCCTTCTAAAATTAATCTGGTTTTATTTAAAGGCTGAGTGACATTAACTGGAGGTTTGTACCTGTTATAGTAAAGACTATTCCCTCTACTCCCATCACTCCAGCTACAGTGGCGACGTTTGAGTCGAAATACACCACCAGTTCCTGTAGAAGGATTCCAAATGATTTCGCTATTCCGACCATCACAAAAGTGCTGCCGAAAAATCCTAGAAAACAAAACAGCAGGTACATTTGTAGAACACATTCTGCATGTGGAAAGCATGTAGTAACACTTGTAAAATTGAATATTTAATATCAAAGAAATGGGTCATTACTATTCCAGTTTAATAAAACCTTTTGAGACCAGCTGCAACTCTACTCTACTCTGACATTATCTAATTCAAAAACATTACATACACAGTAGTTAATCTGAAAAAACAATCTTCCAGATTGCAGCAATTGATTTTTAGTCCTTTGAGATTTGCTGTAAACTGTATATCATGGTTTAATTCATGCAAATAGTGGCACAGGTCAGAATATACACATGTACTAGATATTCTTAATTATCAGACATACAGACAGAATATACACATGTACTGGATATTCTCAATTATCAGACATACGGACAGATTATACACATGTACTAAATATTCTTAATTATCAGACATACAGACAGATTATACACATGTACTGGATATTCTCAATTATCAGACATACGCACAGAATATACACATGTACTGGATATTCTAAATTATCAGACGTATGGACAGAATATACACATGTACTGGATATTCTAAATTATCAGACATACGGACAGAATATACACATGTACTGGATATTCTTAATTACCAGACATACGGACAGATTATACACATGAACTAGATATTCTTAATAATCAGACATACGGACAGAATATACACATGTACTAGATATTCTTAATTATCAGACATACAGACAGAATATACACATGTACTAGATATTCTTAATTATCAGACATACGGACAGATTATACACATGTACTGGATATTCTTAATTATCAGACATACGGACAGAATATACACATGTACTGGATATTCTAAATTATCAGACATATGGACAGAATATACACATATACTAGATATTCTAAATTATTAGGCAAATGGAAATTCTGAAGTTTATTGAATTAGAGGTAAGTTGGTACACTTCTGTCTAGATTTTTTTTCAGTCACTTTTGGTTCTCCTCAGTCGCCTCCTAGGCTTCAAAATTAAGCCTTTAATATCACTGACTAGTCCTAGAAGGAGGAAACAGCTGTATGACGGAGTATAGTTCATTGTTGGGCTCTACTGTGTCTAACTCTAAATTTGTATAATAAGGTGCTATTTATTTTGCCTTTGTGTAATCTTAAAACAATTGGTAAAATCTACCAAATACAAACCTAGCACTACAATCCATCCCCAGCCTCCATCAGGTGCAGACTGCTTTTGTGTGGGACTATCTTCCATGTTTTCTTTTCTTCGTCAGTTGGTTCTCATTTTGATTTGGGCTGGTGGAATTGGTGATTAGAAATATCATTCACAACCCTGAAATAAGATATGTAAAAGTCAAAACAAATCTCTGTTAATTGTAGCATACGTAGGAAACCCAACTTTGCAGGAAATTGTAACTGATGAGGTCAGTGAGAGGTCGTTCATTTCATCTGAAATCACACCTGTTCACATCAGTCTTTAGTTTCTAAGGTCAGTGAGAAGTCGTTCATTTCATCTGAAATCACACCTGTTCACATCAGTCTTTAGTTTCTAAGGTCAGTGAGAAGTCGTTCATTTCATCTGAAATCACACTTGTTCACATCAGTCTTTAGTTGTTTCTAAGGTCAGTGAGAGGTCGTTCATTTCATCTGAAATCACACTTGTTCACATCAGTCTTTAGTTGTTTCTAAGGTCAGTGAGAGGTCGTTCATTTCATCTGAAATCACACCTGTTCACATCAGTCTTTAGTTTCTAAGGTCAGTGAGAGGTCGTTCATTTCATCTGAAATCACACCTGTTCACATCAGTCTTTAGTTTCTAACTGAACAGGAAGTAAACAGCATACAATATTTGTGTGTACGTATGTTTACAAATAAACAGTAAATTAAGTTGGATTGACCTTGGACACATATGACACTCCTTTGTGACTGGAGCCAGTAAAAACAAGTGACATAACAACATAAACACTCACCAAACCAATCGATCTTCAATCCAGACATATTGACCATTTAATCAATTTAACAACTATCTAAAAAAATATACTTCAATCTCCTTGACACCCACCCCAATAACCCTTGTACAAGACTTGACACCCACCCCTATAACCCTTGTACTAGACTTGACACCCACACCTATAACCCTTGTTCTAGACTTGACACCACCCCAATAACCCTTGTACAAGACTTGACACCCACCCCTATAACCCTTGTACTAGACTTGACACCCACCCCTATAACCCTTGTACTAGACTTGACACCACCCCAATAACCCTTGTACAAGACTTGACACCCACCCTTGTACTAGACTTGACACCACCCCTATAACCCTTGTTCTAGACTTGACACCACCCCTATAACCCTTGTTCTAGACTTGACACCCACCGCTATAACCCTTGTTCTAGACTTGACACCCACCCCTATAACCCTTGTTCTAGACATGACACCCACCGCTATAACCCTTGTTCTAGACTTGACACCCACCCCTATAACCCTTGTTCTAGACTTGACACCCACCGCTATAACCCTTGTACTAGACTTGACACCCACCCCTATAACCCTTGTACTAGACTTGACACCCACCCCTATAACCCTTGTACTAGACTTGACACCCATCGCTATTAACAGTGATGAAGACAGTAATTGAGAAAAAATTATCAAAGGAGGAAAAACAATGAGAATTGTATGAAAGGGATTGTGAAAAGAAGGCAAAATGAGATAATTGGAGTAAATTATTAAAAAAAAAGAGTGAAAAAAGAAAAGAGATGTCAATTTAAGTCAAATGTGTTTCATTTGTCCGAGTCAATACGACATCCGGAAAACATCAATAATATACAAAATGTACTTCCTGTCATATATAGATGTACACTGAACGCATTCCCGAGACACTGCCAAAGGAAATCCCCTTCAAGTGTTACTTGTGTGAGGATTGACCTGTAAATATTTCAAGCAATTTTTACAGTCTTATCAATTTACATTGACACCTGTATGTCAGATGTTTACATATTTATGGCCACACCCTCAAATGTGTAATTTATCTATTTCCTGTTCTTAATTGTTTTCCTGTTTCAGTTTATATGTATGTAATATAAAGCATATCTAGCCTGCATGGCTGAATGTTATACAATGTAAAACTGACTCTATGCCTCAACATAACATCTCAGTAATTTTTCTATGATTTTTACTATTGCCTGTTGTGATTGGCTTCTAAGATTTTTAGATGTCTTGTAATATTCCATGCTATATTTATGATGCACCAATCTGAGAGTTATTTCTTTTGAAATGAATCAAGTGGTCAACTCTCCCCCCAACTGGTCAAATTTCCCGATAACTCATCCTCAAAGATATCCTGTGTATGGTTGATTTTCCGTCATTGTACCTACCACTATATACTGGCTTTTCTTTCAGATATATGATGCACAAAGGTGCACTACCTGAAGAATCTGAACAAGCTGATAAAATATAGTTACCTGAAGTTACACCCATGTCAACCATCAAAGCGACGGAGATTCTGAAGATATAAACTCTTTGATCGCACAGTCTATAGGAGGTCTAAGATTGACCATCCTACCCTATATAGGTCACCAAATGTCGCAGACCAAACAAGTCATCTATTGTATACTTTTCATTTGCATGTCTTATTACAATGTTAAGTTATGCCAAACGTTCATATATACACTGCCTTATTTTGTTGTTTTAAAAGAACTTTGTGTTTCTGATCCACATAGTCCTCCACGTCAGTAACTCAAAACGACCACAAATAGGGTACTATCACTCAAATGCAGGACCATTACACATGTTGACAGGACCCAGACCCGGCCTGCTAATTACTGCAAACTCCACACTTACCACAATAAAAACCCGAGTAAAAATCTTGACATAATAACATATACAGAGACAAGCAAAATCACGTGTTGAAGTTAGATGCACACTAGAATATAGTAGCAATTCAACAGTCCAGCGATCTATAGGTTATGAACAAGCAATTTATAAACATCCGTACGTTACCTCAAATTTGCGTGTAACATAATAATTTCCCAAATGACATACGTTTAAACGATTACGGTGATAGGAATCGGTATACATTATCATTTACGAGTCGATGACATGCTTCGTACTACAGCAACAAGTCGGATCCTTCGTTATCGTACCTCTCCCGGTATCTAATCTCACTGTGACACACATGTGTAGTGTATGCGTTTGTTTGTCTATACTTACCGGGTTTTCCGTGCGCTTGTAGCATGGATGTCCTGATTTTAGAACCAAACAACGGGTTATGTTGTTCGGATTCTGTGAAAATAACATCAGTACAGAATAAAAAGAAATGTCATTTATAAATAAATATGATATTTGATAGCTACTGTATTTTGTATTTCCAGTTTTCTGTCGACATAAGATACTGCGATATATGTAATGGTACAACGCATCACAAATCAATTCATTTCATTTGTATGCAAAAGACACTATAAAATAGTGACAGATGTTCTCAAATTATTTACAAGAGTACTGAAAAGATCATGCTTAAGAGAATAACATTGGTGACTAAGAAGTTTGTGTAAAATAATCAACAGACGATCCCCGACATCTCTTTCGGACGATACGCTGTATCTGTTTACGTCTATTGTATTCCGATTTATAATCAACTTGTCCCGATGTTTTCTTTTTTGTTTGTATTTTTTTGTTTTTTAGAATTTAGCGTGACAGTTTATCACCAGAATTTAAAATAAATGATGCAACTATCTAATTTTCATTTTAATATTATTGTCTTTAAAACGTACAGGTTTTTGCACCTAACCC